CCCCCCCCCCCCCCCCCAAAGTGTCACAACAGGAGCAGCAGGGCCAGACACACTTCTGCTATCTTCTAAACTGGTACGGGGCTAATCCCACCTGTCCAGAGCTCTAGGCCAACTAAGCTCTGCCCCGGAGAAGGAATCCACCTCCACCCATGCCAGCAGAGTCCTGCCAGGAGAGGATCCCTGCTGATGCCACCCCACAGAGCTAAGATGGGGGAGGGCAGAGGAAGCATGTCCCTTGCAGAGCCTCATCTGCAGAGGCAGCACCCCCCTGTGAAGCGGGTTCGAATGAAAGCAAAGATGCTGATGTAACCATGTGATTCCAGGAGGCCAGGCCTGCACCTTTGCTGGCATTCACCGGAGGCACGAATCTCTGCATTCGTTATTTTAGAGGGCCTGCCACAGACCCAGCTCAGCCCACACAGAGGCGCATGGCCCGCGCTGTAGAACACGTCGTCGGTATGGACAGGCGCTAGGCAGGCAGGCTTTATTTGCTGCAGTGACGTCACGAAGCACACAGAAGGCGCAAACATACTTTCAACAGATGTGTCATTTTGCTGGCAACATCACAAGTCTCGTGGAGGGTAAACTCAAATGCTGCTACCGCAAAGCAAGCCCCATGCAGCATAATGGCCTTGTGCACAGGGAGAGGGGCACAGGTGACCTGGATTCAATTCTTGGCTCTGCCACCGGGCGGCCGGGCGAGTCACTTAATCATATCATTGCCCCATGCCTCAGTTTCCCCATCTGTAAATTAGGGCCAATGATACTCACCTTCTTTGCAAAGTGCTTTGAGAGCTACGGCTCAAAAGACACAGGTGGGATTATTGGTATAAATATATTGTTAGGTCACAAGAACGTAGGAACAGCCAGGCTGGGTCAGACAAAGGTCCATCTAGCCCAGTAGCCTGTCTGCCGACAGCAGCCAGGTCAGGATTTAATTTTCCCAAGACATCAGTTCAGAAATCCGCCTCCAAACCTGCAGCTGAGAAGAGACCCCAGGCAGCATGGGCAGGGCCCAGTGTCTTTCAAAGCAACGTCGCTCTCTTTGCTGCAGGATTTGTGACTGAGACCAGTTTCTAGCCCCTCTGTTTCCAAAAAAAACCCTTTCAAAGTCTACCTGAGACTGCAGACAGCCTGAAGCAACAGATCTGATGGAAGAGTGCCATGTGGCCGGTCATCCAAATAGATGTTGATTCTGAAACCTAACGATTTAACTCGGCTTTGTTAAATGGGTAGATAATGAAGCTTCAGAGCAAGTAAATCAAGCAGGCTTCTAAATTTGGGGGTGGATACATCGCTCAAGAAGGACAACAATGCTTCTGAAACAGAGCACTGTATTGTGGCTGCATTTGCAGCATACAGGCTGAGAGCTGTCCTATTGCTATACTGGAAGGGGATAGATAGATCAATAGGAATGCTGGCTTAAAAGACACAGAACATGTCTGCACTGGCACTAAGACCACGTGAATAGAAAAACGCTACATTTAAAACCTGAAGAAGAGCTCTAGGTAGCCCTAAAAGTGGGGGGGGGGTCTCTCATTTCACCAATAGAAGTTGGGCCAAGAAAAGATATGACTTCACTCACCTGGTACCTTTAAAATCTGGGACTCAGATGGCTACCCCGCCATTGCAAAAAGCTAAAAGACCCCAAAGCACTGTAGTACCTGGACACCCTGCTGACATTTACCCCCTCATTTTAACATTCACTTTGGAAGAAGGTGGATGAAAAAGAGTCAAATACAACAAAGATTTCTTGGCTGTTGGCTCTGCATGGGAATTGATCATATTCACTGGCTAATTCAGCCTCATTCCTCTTTAATTTGTAGCACTGCTAACATGAAACATGTGTCACTTTGATTGCAGCTACTGGCCTGGCAACACCAAACCCTGAACTAGTTATCACTGGTAGAAGTCCAGGGACACGTTCCACGTCCCAAACACAAGAGGGAGAGGTTTTTATTTCGGTTATGAATTCAGGAGATGGGCACGGTTCTACATTAACATGCTAATACATCTTTAATTTGACAGCTACTCTGCCCCCACTAAAGTCACAGTTCCCGGTTCAAATTCATCTGGGGGAATATTGTGGAAGGGAATCTGACTGTCAGGACAATGGCCATTTTATACACAGGCGTCTGTTGGGTTGGACGCTGGGTGAAAATGCTGAAAGATAACTGCTAATCCCTCTGGCAGATGCAGGCCAGAAACTCAGAGGGAAAGGTTTCAAGAATTCATATGCATTGGAAACTTGCTGAGAGCCACAGGAGTGTAGAACTTGAAGGGACCTGATAGGTCGTTTAGTCCAGTCTCCTGCACTCAAGGCGAGACTATGCAATAACTAGACCAATCCTGGCAGGCATGTGTCCAACCTGCTCTGAAAAATCTCCAGTGATGGAGAGTCCACAACCTCCCTAGGCAATTTGTTCCCGTGCTTAACCACAGAAAGGTAGGAAGTTTTTCCTAATGTCCAATCAAACCTCCCTTGCTGCAATTTCAGCCCATTGCTTCTTGTCCTGTCCACCAAGGTAAAAGAAAACAATTGTTCATCCTCTTCCTTGTAATAAACTTTAATGTATTTGAAAACTTATGTTGTCGTTCCCCCCCCCTCCCGCCCCCAGTCTTCTCTTCGCCAGACTAAACAAACCCAAGTTTTCAATCTTCGAAAAGAAGAATGCAGGTTTATTTGTTTTTAAGATGCACCATTTAAATGCCAACTTGATCATCTTAGCTGCAAGTGCAGTGGTTTCCGGATCATGCGATTCCAGGAGAAACTCCCTTGTGCTCTCAGAGGCAAGAAAGCCTCAAAGGAACAGAGCAAGCTCTTTGGCTGGACCTTAAGCACGGAAGTGACCTACTTCCCTAGGTAACCCATTCAGTGCTTCACCACCCTCCCAGTGAAATAGTTTTTCTTAATATCCAACCTGGACCTCTCCCACTGCAACTTGAGACCATTGCTCCTTGTTCTGCCATCCGTCGCCACTGAGAACAGCCCCTCTCCATCCTCTTTGGAACCTCCTTTCAGGAAGTTGAAGGCTGCTATCAAATCCCCCCTCGCTCTTCTCTTCTGCAGACTAAATAGACCCAACTCCCTCAGCCAAGTAACAAAGGGCAAACATGCTTCAGTAGAATCCCAAGTCAGTTTCAACCCTGTGCTCCATTTGTACCCAGGTCAGTTTCAGAATCAAAGCTGCCAAGCATAGGAGCAAATGGCATGACTGAAACTGGGGGTGGAGGGGAGGGGTGTTAAAAACTGGAAGCTACCACTTTGTATTGCCAGGGGTTTCCCGATACGGCTTGCAGCCTTGGGAGCTTACACAGTCAGTCTCCAAAGAGCCAGCCTAGAGCAAAGGGCAGAGACTGGGCTTCTGGGTTAGGGAGCAGCCTGCTTTGTCACACACTGTCTCTGGGTTCCTGCGAGGGGTAATGCTGAATTTGAAGGAAGACGTCACTACACCGGCCTCCCAGGGATGCTACATGGCGCTCTTCACTGGCTCAGGGAGCTGTGTGCAAGAGGGCACAATTGTCCAAGCACAGCTCTTCCCCAGCCAGCCCCCCCAAGCTTGGGGCTGTTGGCATAAGGACCTTGTGAGTCAGGGATTCTTCCTGGGGGGCTATCGCATCTGCTGCAGGGCTCCTTTGTGGCAAACTGGCTGGAGTAAAGGGGCCACCAGTAGGACCCTACTCCAGGGTGGTTGTTTTTTTTTTTTTAAAGCATCGTGTTGGGAAAACAAAGGAAGGTAGCAGAGGAGAGGCAGGCTGCAGTGGAAGGGGCTGCATGCACTGCATCGCCAGTTACATTGCAAGGCAGACTCTCCCTCTGGGGCTCTGGATGTTAAGATGAGCACCAAGGGGGTGCTGAGGGCAGAGCCAAGGCACCTGTTATTGGCGAGAGAGTAAATCGGCGCCCAGGCCTCTGCCTTGCTGTGGCAGGTTTCATTTCCAGGCAGGAAGGCTACAAAAAGCACCAGCAATCCCATAAGCAACTTTCTAGGCCTCATGCCAAAGAGCGACTGAGTGAGGATGCACAAGTTCAGCTACGGTTCTCTCCTCACGCAGAGGCAGCAGCGGAATAAGCCACCAGCAGAGTCCCAGCACATGTCTAAGGCCATGCCCCCTGCAGCCAGCTCACTGGCACCAGCTCTGCCCAGTCCACAGACTGCCTCAAATCTCAGCCTGGTGCAATGCCCGCAGACTAAAGCTACCGTTCCAGGCAGCAGACAGCCACTATCAAAGGCCGATGCAGAAGAGGGTCTGAAAACATGCTGCAAACCAACCTGCCCTCTGGGTGCCCACAACTCACAAGGGCAGGCGGGGGCAGTTCAGGTCCGACTCTCGCCCGAGGGGCACAGGCTAGAGGAGAGGGCTGCCTGAGCCTGCTCTTGTTCACTAGAG